AGGGGGGCCGGGGAGCGGGCGGGGGGCAGCGGCGGGGAGGATGCTGCCGGGGCGGGTTATCGCGGTGGGAGCCGCTCTCCGCAGCCAGCCGGGCCTTCCAGGCAGCCCCTCTTTGCCCAAGAGGGAAGACTGCAGCGTTGACCGTGCCGTACGCGGGCTGGGATTCTGGGTCAGTGCTGAGAGCGGTGAAATCCAAGCTGCTGCGATTATCTGCCGCCTCTGGGGCCAGACCACCACCCCTGAAGAGAGACCGAGCTCAAACACACTCAGGTCAGGCTCCCAGCGAGCCCGACGCCCCGCGCTGGCTGCTGTGCTCCTCGGAGCTGACCCCTGGCCCAGGCATGGTTTATCATCCCCACTGGCCGCAGCAAACACAGAAACCGAATTTCATCCCTTCGGGCAAAGCGGGAAGTAAACATTCACACCGATGAACTGGGGCATTTATACCTCCTGTACAGCCAGCACCGGGCAGCGTGGCCCCCGGTGCAGAGCACAGGGCTGAGGGCTGCCCGGGACCTGCGGTGCCGACCTGGGACCTGCCCCCCCGCGCTTCGGCTCCATCAGCCTCGTGCCGGGACCTCGGGCACCGCTACAAGCGCGACGGCGAACCTGTATGCCAAACCAGCAACTAGCCCCAAACTGACTTTTTACGAGCACCAACAGCTTGTGCAATGCCGCTCTGGTGACCTGCTCCCTTCGATTTCTGAACGGTTGCAAAGAGAAAAACCCAGCTCCCTAAGAAATCCCGGGGTCTCAAGGGTTTTAATTTAACTGCACAGACCCTAACAAGGTCCAAAGGTGCAGCACCTTCCAGGGGTCACTCCCTGCTGTCACCAGCGCCCTGCCGAAGCCCAGCGCACCGCAGCCTGGAAAGGGTCACTCGCATCCAGGCAGGAAAGCTGTTCTGGAGCGGGACACGTATAAGCAGAGGAGGAGAGGGGTGCTAGTCTGCAAAACCCAAAACGCTGATGAAATGGAGGGAAGGGGAGCCATGCTCCGGTGGGCTGGGGCCGGCGTTTTGACTCCCCGAACAGAAATAGTCCTTGTAGATCATCTGACAGAGGCTTTTCTACCAGCCCACGAGAGGGACGCGTGGGGAGGGCAAAAGAAAAAAAAAGGGGAAAAAAAAAAAAAGGTTTTTTCCTTTCTGTCAGCTGTGCAAAGGGGTGAATATTCAGCACGCAGCTGCACAGCTCCGAGCGGTATCAGCCATCGGCTTCCCACTGCACAGCTACCAGCCCGTTCACTGGTCTAACTGGGAGCACAGTGAACAGGCCTGGACTCTGCGTGCCAGGGCAGGCTGCTGGCATCTTTGTCTGCTTAAGTGTATAATAAATCCTCTCTATACATAATATAACTAATAAAATATATATCAGGTGTATGGCTCTCATTTAAACAGATGTTTGCACTGCATGCTCAACACAGGGAATTAGAAAATAGAAGGAAAACAGCTCGATTCTTTTACAAAAAGGTAGCAGCAAAAAGGTTTACGAAAGTCATAGATAGGCTGGGTAGGAAGCAGCCCGAACAGCACGTATTTCCCTTATATGACGCTTTACAACTTCGAGGTTCAAGGCGATAGTAGAGAATCCTCCATCACTACAGCTATTGCCCGATTCCATCCATCTGCCTTCCGCAGGACGGGCCGGTTCTGCACTGACCCCGGGGGGCAGCGCCCACGGCGTGCCCCGGCCCACGGCACGCCCCGGCCCACGGCACCAGTTATCAGCAAAACTCACCGGGCAAGGCTGGCTCGTGCAACGGCGTTACCAGGAGGGATGCACGGGATCTACACAGGGATTTAAAAGCATCGTATCACTCCAGAGCCCCCTGGTTCCCAGCACAGGGCAAAAGCAACCTCAGCAATTCTGCTGGAGCATGGCGTGTCCAGAAAAGTAAACACCTCTGAAATAGAGCAGGCAGCCTGCCTGCATGGAAAGTCAGGTTTTGGGCTGCATCCAGACAGATTTCAAAGTGTATTTTACTGCTGTCTGGGTCTGCCTTTGCCTGTAAAGGCTGGCTTTTGTTTGGTTCTTTTAATATTCAGTGCTGTAAGGGCATTTTTGACAGCAGCACAAGGCCCAGGGCAGTACTGCACTCCTCCTTGCCTTTCTGTACTGGCTGGGGAAAAGAGCCTTAAGTCAGCAGAATCACAAAGTAGTTCAGGGTTTGCTTCCCTCCTACTGCAACATCCAAAGTGGGGAACTAACTCGCTACGGCATGGGGAGCCAACAGCAAGGGGCCTGGCTTTGTGCATTTTAAAGCAGACTAGAAACCCCACGTTAACAGGCCTCAGGAGATGCCAGGGCTGTGGGCAGCGCGGCCACGGGGAGGACGGACGGATAAGTCCCAGCTCTCCAGGACCAACATCTCCCCCGTTTCTCAAACACCTCTTGCCCGCAGAAGCCTCCTGCGCTCCCCTTGGCCGGGCTCTCCTTTGACAGAACTTAAGTTACAACTGGTTAAGTGGCCGTATCCATGCTCCTGGGGGAACGAGACGTGTAGCAGGACTGTGCCTGACTGGAAGAAGTCAGCAGAGAGCCCGAGTGCTCATAAATGCTAATAAAGTGCACAAATGCAGAGACGTCAGCTTCCTTCCTCCGAGGCTGGCATGGCCAGGGACAAGGACGTGCTGTGCTGTGTATCACCCATGTACCAGAGACCAGGACCAGCTCCTCGAATACCAGTGCCTCTCCCAAAACCGATCGATCTACTGGGAGGCTGCTTCAGCCAGGGGATCCACGCCAGTGGCTCCAAACCAGCTGCGGCGGGTGCCTGGGGTCCCTGAGCCCCTTGGCTGCCTCCCCACCCATGCACCCACGCACCCACGTGCCAGGTCCCCTTCCCCAGTGCAAGGGCCAGCGGCTCCAACCCTGGCATCACCCACGTCCTGGTGCAGGACCTGTGCAACGGAGCACACGAGGACAGTAAGTGACAGAGCGCGTAGGGGCACGGCTAGACCCACCCCGGCCAAGGGGGACAGAGCCCGGGGTGTCACCTCCCAGCTGAGAGGGGGCATCCGTGCAGACAGACGGCGTGGCGGCCGCTTGCTGCTGACCCCAGGAGGGACACGCGCGCCCAGCCTGGTCCCGGGGAACCCAGCCCCAGAGCCCTTGGGAAACAGAAACAGGGACAGTGTGGGGACCGGCTCTGCACGGGGGGCCGCGGGGTCCAGCAGCCAAGCGGAGCAGGCAGCTGGACGCGTGTGCTTCTCTGCTGGGGGGGGTCCTGGGTAATAAGGCAAGGTGCTTGACGTTACGAGAAAAGCGGCCAAGTGCAGAGTGCTGGACAAGGGGCGGTGAGACTCAGTCTGTCTTTCCCAGCTTCGCTATCAGCTCGTCACAGATCTTGGTCAGCTCCTCAATCTCCTGGTTCTGGAAGAAAAGCAGACCTTGAGGACCCCCGCGGCGGCACAGATGGGGGATAACGCTCGGGCCCATCTGCCACTGAGCCAGCTCCTACACCTGCCCCTGCGAAAGCTCCTCCACGCAGCATGCAGGTACCGCAGGGACCCCTGGGCTCACCCCTCCTCATCCCCAACAGATCCTGGTGCTGCGCAGAGACCCACAGCTGCCCAGCTGCAGCCCACGCGGCGGCTAGCGGGCACACATGAGCAAGCTCTGCCCATGCTGCAAGACAGCCAAACCCATGCCAGCCCTGAACCGGCAGCCACGTCACTGCCTGCAGCCTGGCAGAGCTTGCGTCTCCTTCCTTGCGAGAGGACACGGTTGTACACAGGATGTTCAGGGCAGCAAAACGGTACCCTGGAAATCCAGAGCAGAGCCAGCGCAGCTCCCAGGGTGGGTGCGTTACCTTCTGCTGGAGCGCTCTCTCCAGGGACTCCACCTTCATCTGCTCCTTGCGCAGCCCGGCGTGCAGCGCCGCGCTCTCGGCTTTGGCCTTCGTGCGCACCTGGGCGATCTCCTCGTTGGCTCTGCAGCGGGGTTTGGAGAGAAGGGGACGGCGGTCACATCTTTGGGTGCAGGCAGGAGCACCGCGGCACAACGTTAGACCGTGCGGCATCAGCAGAGCCTGGCTCCTGCTTGCCTGGATGAATCAGACGTGGTTTTCCCATATGGAAAACCTGCATGAAAGGGGATTAATTCAGCTCCTCCAAACTCCTGTATGGAAACTCTCCTTTCTCAGAGCAAAGCTAAACCAGTTCCTCACCCACCGCCCTTGGGGCTACGGTGTGTTGGTGAGCTATTGCTCATCAGCTGAGCCTGGGTAGCTGTGCCACCCCTTCACACACCGCAAACATGAGCCCTCTGAAACGTGGGAACTTGTTAAGCGACTGTAAATAGACTGCGAACCTCAGTTTCTCCATTAAAAAAAACTAAGCAGAGATCAGAGAAGCCGTTCAGGGATTTGTGCTGGCTTACTTACAGCCATTTTAAGTCACTTGAGCCTGAGGTTGTAAAAGGCAGCTTTTCACATCAATAAGCTCCTGCCTTCCAACCTCAGGGAAGCCAAATGGAGACTCTGCCCTACAAGGTCTTTAAGCACCGAGAAAGCTCCTCAGCACGCCCAGCAGTCTCGTCCATCACCTTACTTGTCTAATTTTTCTTCTGCGTGGACTTTCAGGGCCTGATACCGCTGCTCTTCTTGCTTGACCCGGGTTAAATAATCTTGAGCACACTTCTTCAGAGCTTCTTCGTTCTGGAAAAAAAAAATATATCATCTGCATTGGGACTGAGCACAGAGATGTTGCTCTGATGGGATGATATATCCTGTTCTGAGTGTAAAATTAAAAGGCTTTAAATAGAATCAGCTTCTCTCTTATGCTGGAGCCCCTTATCCAGCTCAGCAGCATGGAAAAAACAGCGTGTAGATGGAGACAGGCTTTCCCGGGGCACGCTGCCCTGGCCCAGGGCGCAATGCTCTGCCGGAGAGCGCCAGGGAGGAGCGCGGAGAAGAGCCGGAGAAGCAGGCTCCCCGCAACGGCTTCCCCTGGCATGTGAAAGACTCTTGGCTCGTTTATCAGAAAGCGAGCAGAGGAAAGCAAGCGAGCGGTCCCCCGCGCAAGGGCCGGGGCATTGAAGCAGCGCTGCGTGGGACGGGAGAGCCACGGTGCTGCAGCACGGGGCAAGGTGGGGGCAATGCTGCACGGGAGCTCTGCGCCCAGGGACCGGGGCTGCAGGGAGAAAGAGGAAACCAAGGTAAGGACCTTCTTAAAGCCTTCTAGGACGCCCTTCAGGTTTTCATATCTCCTGAAGAGATCCGACAGGGACCTCTCCACTGAGTTTAGGTCTGCCAGAGCCTGGTCTTTTTCCATCGTGAGCTGCTGCAGGTTCTTCTGAGACGTCATGTTTGTCCTCTGCTCATCCTCTGTGATGGAGAATAAACAGCAGGGACACGGTGACTCGGGGGGGCCCGGCTGCGGCAGCCAGCTCCCTGCCCCGCGGGCCCGGCCAGGCGACGGCACCTTACCTATCATCTGCGCAATGGTCTTCTCATACTCAGCCACTATTTTCCTGGAAGGGAGAAAAAAAACCAGGTAAGAAGCAGCAGTTTTTTGCAGACACACACCTACAGCTCTGCTGCCAGCAAACTGCCCCAGGATCATCCCTTCCCCACGCCACAAAGGCGGCCCAAGCAGCAGCCTGTCTGCAGAGCCCCAACTGTTGATGCTGCAACTCCCACCATCGCTCCCCTACGCTAAGACCTCCCTCCAGCCGCGGCCGCTCGGGCCGGCGCAGCTAATGGGATTTTATTCCTGCGACAAAGAAACCAGCAGGCTCAGCACAGCACAAGCACAAAGAGTACACATCCCCTAACATATCCCACCCTGATGATGATGAGCCGTGTCATCCCATTACAGCCCCGCCAACCCACCTCCCAACGGGGAACACACACAGCGCCGCACCGTGCAGGGCAGCGGGCAGGCGAAGGTGCGAGGAGAGGGCTTTTACCTCATCTCTACGGCTTTTACCTCATCTCTAAGACTTCCTGGCGGCTCTCTTCGTATTTCTTCTTCCACTCGTTTGCTTCGATCTCCTTTGTGATTATCTAGGTTGCAGCAGACACAGGACGCTCGGGACGTGCTCGGGGTGGTTTCCCTTGCTGCCCCAGGCCTGCGACACGCTGGGGACCAGAGCTGCCCCCGCTCCCCCCCGCAGCGCCAGCCAGGATGGGGTCCGGCGAGGGGCAGCCCCGGGGTGGCTGTCACGCTGGGGTACGCCCCAGGAGGACAGGGTCCCCGCTCGTTACCTCCTCTCTGATGAGCGTGAGCACGGCCGTCTTCTCGGATTCACTGAGGCAGATGCCGTCCAGGGGACTCTCGCTCCTGCTCACGCTGGTGACGGCTGCGGGAGACTTGTCCATGGAGCACAGCCCGGGATTGCCCTGGGGGGAATTTCCCAGCTGGGACGCTGCGTGGGTTTTCTTTCCACCCTGCCTCTCCTGTTTGGGGTGCTCTCCCCCATTTTATCAGCCTCTATTCAGGCACCAAACCTCCCTACCTGCACACACTGACAGCTCAGAGCATGGTATCAGAGACACCCGGCAGAGCCCATACGGGGATTTTAGTGCACTTTCTGCCCAGTCCCTTACTGGGAGCTGGGGCTGACGCTGTAGGACACCCACAGGTTGCCCTGGGGCTTGGCATCCCAAAGGGGAGACAGAGCAGGGGCCCATTTTGGACGGAGGAGACCCAGCTCTGAGCAGCTCACGCCCGACACCCCTTCGCTTTCCCCATGGCTGATTTCAAACTATCTGTCTCCAGCCTGGAGGATCTTTGCTGACCGTGAGCCACGCATGGGGGGGTCTGCCAGGGTCTGGGTTGCCTGTCTCCATCACCTCCGGGTCAGGGGGAGATGTCACTGCAGCCGATGCACCCAAAGTGCTGCCAGCAGCTGCAGGGACATTTGCTGGGTCGTGCTGATCGCCCTGAATGCAGAAGGGAGCTGGTGGGGGAGAACAGCCTTCACCTCCCTGCAGAGCAGGGTCTGGCTGGCCCAGCTCTGAGGCTGCTCCCGCTCTCCTTCCCGAGGGACAGCCCCACTCATCCCACACTGCCCCAGCTGGCTGGGAGAGCTCCGAAATCGGAGACGCTCGCGCAGGGCTCCTGGCACCCTCCCCTTTCCATTACGGGTGCTTCTCCAAGGGACGAGGTGGTGGTACCCCCATTGCTCACTGCTTTCTCCCCCAGAGCCCAGCTCCTTTTCACCAGTGCTGCAGCCAAAGGGCCCAAACTGGGGGGGGGAGAGCTCAGCCCCGTGACCCAGGCGCCGAGTCCTGCCTGGACGTCGGCCCCACCTCGGGGGGGTCCTGCAGTCTGAAAGGCCTCCAGAAAAGCATTCCTTCAAACCGAGGCTTACACCACCGCCTGTTCCTCCTTTTATCATCCCAGCTGAAGTGACAGCCCCGCGCAGCCATCTCCTTGGGAACCAGCTGCCAGGCCATAAATAGAGAAGTGCTTTGGAGGAAGCAGGCTGCTTTTGCCGTGTTTTGGAAACCAGAGCACTAAAGCACTTCTCTCCCCGCCTCCTCCCCTGCGCTTTGACTGCTGCCCAGCTTCAAGCACGACCGAGCCCTTCACAGGCTCTCACAGCTCTGCTGCCCGTAGCAGTGGGCAAGCGACGGCCGGTGGCAAGGAGCCACCCCCGGGAGCAGGTTTACATCCAGGCAGCCTAAGACTGGGGAGGTTCAACCCCGTGTGGTTTTGGCAGCAGCCTCCCCCAGCATCTCCCAGAAGCAGGCGCGCACCTGAACACCTGCAAGCACCTCTGCCCACTGCCGGCCCCACGGCAAATCCTCCCACGCTGGGGCTTTGGGATGACCCCGGCTCGTCTGCAGGAGCAGAGTCTGCCCACGCTCTCCCCAGCACCAAACAAAAGGTTCACTTTGCCTAATGTCCTTGTGGGGCTTAGCAGAGTTAAATCTGTCTCAGAGAAGCTAATTTTGCTGATGTTGCTAATCTCATTGTCATCTGCTTGTCACTCCGAGCAGCTTTGGCCAGGGGCGGCTAAGCTGGCACGGGGTCCCCCCTGCAGCGGAGGGGTCTCGGGGCCACTCCGATGGCTCCCCGCGGCACATCAGGGGTGCCCCTGTGCAGATGTGCCGCTGCCGGGGTGCCAGGGTCACTGGTGGCTGCAGAGCCAGGGCTGTTTTCATTAATCCCCGTCTCTGCTGTCAGCCGCCTTCCTGAAAGCAGCGTTTGAGGACCCGCTGTAGAAGGCACAGGCACCAACCGGCCATCAGGGCCAGCCCTGGACTCCGCCACGTGAGAGACAGCCCATCCTGCGGCTCGTCCCTTCCCCGTGATCTCCTCTGCCCTTTCACTGTCATTCAGCCACTTCCAAATGCAGCGTTTGCTCTCGTTGCCCTCCCACGGCTGCAGCCCTGGCTCCCCACCAGCCCTGCTCCATCCCCGGCATCTCTCCCTCCCACCCACGAGCAGCAGCGCCCACCCGGGAGGGAGCCGTCCTCTGCCAGGCTCCTCCTGGCCTGCCGGGAAATCACCGCTATTTTTATCAAGTCCCTGCGTGGGCTTTTCAAGAATTTGAGCTCCCAAAGAAACTCCTTTTGGTAGCATTTCTGTGATTAGCAGCAACGTTTGCTGCAGCTTCCCCCAGGCAGCGTCTGGGATGCAGGAGATCAGCCCTCCCGCAGCCCCGCCGCCCTGCTGAGCCCCACGCCAGCGCCCGCGCAGCCGCCCGGAGCCTCCCTGCAGGCGAGGGAGGAGGAAGCAAGAGGCACTCACGGGGAAGATGCCAGGCTCATCCTTTTCCATCTGCTTGGAGATCTCCTTTTCAAAGCCTAAAGACAAGGAAACACAACCTTTTAGCTACCTGGAAACAAAATCCTGGTGGCACATGCAGATTTGCTGGGATGCAGAGGGGTACCCCAGAGTCTCTATGTCCCTTGAGCTTCCCCTCCCAAAAGGCTTCTTTGCCCTCAGCTCCTGCCCTCGCAGGGAGGATGCACCCTGCATCCCTGCCCCGGCTCCTGCCCCTGCAAGGAGGATGCACCCTGCATCCCTGCCCCAGCTCCTGCCCCTGCAGGGAGGATGCACCCTGCATCCCTGCCCCGGCTCCTGCCCCTGCAGGGAGGATGCACCCTGCATCCCTGCCAGCCTCTCCTCCTGCACTCCCCGGAAACCAACACTCCCCTCTGGTGGCAGTTCAGCCCTGTGCCTGTGTCCCCACAGCTGCCACCCACACCAGCCATTCCCTGGGACCGCAGGGGGCCGAGGAGGAGGAATGAAGCTGCACGGGTCATTTTGCACTTTGCTGGCCGGCATGGGCAGGATGCATCCCTGGGATGAAGCCCAGCTGCTCGGGCCACTCCGAATAGCACAAGCCTCAGCCCACGCCAACTGGTCCCAACGCCCTCCAAAGGAGCGGCCACACGGCCCCTGCTATTCTTAACAGCAGCGGAGAGAAGATAAAAGCCGTCTCCTCCCGCCTGCAGCACGCGGGACACCCTGCCATCTCACATAGCCTGGGAGATAATTTATGAACCTCACTCAAACAACTGCAGACATGACTGGCTACTCACATGTTAACTGGGCAGAGAAAAGAAGTATTGCTAGAGCCCAGCTAGGAAAGGAAGGAGGCAACGTAACGCTTGTGACTGCAGATTTCCTCGTGTTTCCCCCCGTTTCTCCCCGCGCCCTGGTCAGCGGCTGCTTGCCACAGCTCACAGCACCATCCCCGCAGCCAGCACCGAGCCCGCGCACCCCTGCCTGGCCCTCTGAGACGAGCAGCAGTGAGTAAAACCTCCCAGCCTCTCTGCTGACCATCACATTTTTCCTCCCTGTAGAGACAAAGGACTGTTTTCCTCTCTCTCGAGCCTGCAGCTCTGCACAGCATTCAGGAGAAATGATTAATGCACAGGGGAGAGCCGCAAACCTTCCGTGAGGTGATTTCTCCTGCTTGCACCTGCAACTTTGCTACTGATTAAATGCCATGTTGCCTGGCTTTTAATTATTTTTTAATGGATTGCTCAGAGAGGCTAATTACATAGGAGACTGACAGCAAAATGCCACCAAGAGCATTAGCAGAGGTCTTCTGTAGCGACGTGGAGATCTCAGCCCTTGTGCCGGGACACTGAGCCCCAGCAGCTCTGCTCCTGGCCCAGGTTTTGAGCAGAACACCCTGCAACCCGGGAGGCAGGGCACGTGCATCGGGAGCATCCCAGCTCAGCCCTCGTCCCAGCTCAGCCCTCGTCCCAGCTCGCCACTGAACACTGGTTTCAGGAGGGAAATAGTGCAGATAAGCAATGAGAGGTTTTGTTATAACTTGCGGCAGCCTTTAGCCCTGGCAGTGTAAATAAACTGTGATGAAGCCGCATTGCCTCAGCGGCACCAATTCACTGCCAGAGGCTGCAGCGATTGCCTGGGTGCACGCACGGCGCATCTCCAGAGCCAGAGGCAGCGGGGATACTCCTTACCTGCCTCCGTACCGTGCTTCGCCGCCGGCACGGGAACGTTCGAGCACTCAAAGTACTCCAGGTCATCTTCTGGCTCACTCTTCTTCTCCAGGCTGGCCGGTTTCTGTGCGGAGGTGGTGGAGGCCAGCTTCTCCTCATCAGTGGCATGCCCATCCCGATTTGCAATATCTGGGATTTCGGAGATCAGCGCTCCTTCATCCTGCAGGATCAAGGCATGCAGTTAAGCAGGGCTGAGCTAATCCATGGGGATCAGGCAACCAGGCTGCCTGGACAGCCCGTGGAAAGCACGGGAGGCTTAGCATCCACCGACAAGCTGCTCCCCACCAGCTCCTTGGCAGGTTTTGGCAGAAGGAAACACATGGTGCTGGGGACAGAAGCGATTAAAAAGCAAAATCCATTAACCCGACCGCAGAGCTCGGTGCTTTGCTCCGGCCCACACTGGGGACAGGGCTCAGATACTGCACGCGCGTGGTCCCTAACAAACCACGTGGAAAACAGGGAGCGTTTCCCAGCCAGGACACCCCCGCTAAGGCACCGGCTCAGCCTGGGGGTGAGCACCAAGCACAGCCCTCCTCCCTCCCATCCCACCGCAAACCGCCCACGGAGAAGATGTTCTCCCCGCCGCCGGGAGCTGCTGCTTCCAGGGAACCGGCCCTTTGCTCAGGTGTTGCTGCAGGCACACGCCAGCCCGAAGCTCAGCCAGCCCAGCTCTCCCCACGCCACCGTCCGGGCTGTCCCAGCATCCTGCACCCCACCAGCAGTTCCCGGGGTCGGATCCCACGTACCTGAGCGCAAACGTCCAGGACCAGGGACTGTGTCTCGTACTGCTTCACCTTGCAGCCGCTCCTGCAGGGGAGAGAGAAGTGGCCGGCTGAGGCGCGGGCTCGCGTGGGCCGCGCAGGGAGGAGGCAGGGGTGCGTGCGAGACAGCCCAAGCAAGGGGAGGCAGCCCCAGCGCTAGCATTGCACCCCGCTGCGCGCCAGCAACCCCACTCACCAGTGAAATATCGAGGCAGAGCAAGTTCTGGAACGAACAGAAGGAACAAGCAAACAAAACACACGACTACAGAGCAATTGGGTTTGCCTTTGAGGTGTTTATTCCTGTTGAAGGTAAGGATCAGAGAAAGGTGCTGACAGCGAGAGAGGCAATCACCAAGGAGCCGGCAAAGAAAGATTTCGCTTGCTGCTCCCTCGCCCTGCGCATCCAGCGCGACAGCATCCTGAGGTCTGAGCGCACACTGATTTTCTGCAGGAAGGAACCATTTCCAGGCTGTCTCGTGCCCTGTCCCTGCAGCTGAAGGTTGGTCTGGGAACATCTCCGCAGCGTCCATGCGTCTCCCACGTGAGTCAGACCCGCACAGCCGGGGCGGAGGGCTGCTGGTTAGAGAGCTCTGCTTTGCTTGCAGGAGCACCAGGGCAACCCGCTGTGCCTTGAACGCTCCCTCCGCCAGATGCAAACACTGTCCCAAGGAGAAGGGCCTTGCAGACGGGAGAAGGTCAAGCTCAGGCTGCTCTTGCAGGTGGTCCCGTGGCTGGATGCCCTCCAGCGAGGGCAGCTCTCCCTGGGACTTTGTCCTGTGTTCCTCAAAATGCTCCATCCCGGAGCTTGGCTGCACAGGCCCGCAGGCACAGCCGCATCCTGACACACCGGGCATCGGCATCGTGAATCAGCTTGAGGCCGCGGAGGGACAGCTGTGGACCAGCCCCAGCAGCACTGGGTCCATGTCACCGAAGCCCGCGGGGGCTGAGGGAGTCGGCGGTGAGATGAAGTGCACCCCAGCACTCGCCTCTGGCTCTCCTGCATCTCACTCCATGTTTAGCAATCGCCCCCAGCTCGCTGCCATGCCCGAACCCCCCAGAAGAGAGATATTCGCTAAGCTGGAGCGTGACAGCCCCCTATGGATAGGTGGGGAGGGATCTCCACCTCCAGCCTCAGCACTCCCCGCCACGGGGACACGGGCAGAGGCTGGAGCAGGACTGCAGTGAGCCGTACCAGCGCCTAAAGAATCGCCCTCACCCGCTTCGCTCCAGCCTCCCCGTCCCATCGCACACGTGCGCCAGCAGAGCACAACGGGCAACGTGGCACAGCACACGGAAATTTTATTTGCACACTAACATGCACACCTGGGTCAGACTGAAAAAAATCCCTCTTGGCTCTTTCTCCATCACACCCTAATGTGAGCAGCTAAACTGCAGCTCACCGTGTCCTCCTCCACCTCTCTGCTCTGCACCATCTCCTGGGGCCGGTGTTACCGCACCATCTGGCAGCTGGTTTGATCTCCCGCACTGACACCAAGATAACAGCTCCATAATTCAAGGGGATGGGGAAAGGGGGAGAAGACGGCCAAGGCAGACGGCCCTGGCCCTGCCCCACAGCCCCCGAGGCCAGGACAGGCACAGCCGCCCATGCAGGGGTTACCAGTGTAACCGTTTGGGATAAACCCAAATGCAGGCAGCGCTGCCTGCGTGCCTGCCTGACGCACGGGCAGACCCGCCGGGCTGTGGGTCCCGCATTAAGAGACAGACATCCACTGTTGAACGTCGTGCTGTAAAAAGGCAGATCAGTTCTCAGCCGAGACACAGATGTCAGTGCTTGAGCCCAGCTCTAATTTTGTTCGTGCATATGGCAGGCGGCACTAAGCGGACAAGAAGGGCATTGGGACGGATGACATAAGATCAGGAACTAAGCCCAGGACGCTCCTTCCTCCGACTCCCCTCGCACGAGAGCGGAGCGTGGATGAGCCCAGAGGGTCCCAGGGGGCTGACAAGCTGCAAGAGACACCGAGCATCGCCGGGAGGCTAAACAGGGGTAACGCCGGTCCCTCCTGCGCGCCCTGCCCGCGGGACGGAAGCGCAGGGCAGCCCTGGGGGGGCACGGCACGGGGCACTCGATATTTCACTGGTGTCCCACCGCGGGGCTGCTCATGCTGGGGGTACAGCACGGCCCCGCGGCAGCAGCACAGGTCGCAGGGCAGTGAACGAAGGCTGTTTTACTCGAGCCACACTATCTAACCCATCCAGGATCTCGCAGCCCAGCTCCACCGCCCCGGCTTTGGGCACAGGAGGGATGCTTCAGGGTAGAGCCACGAGCAAATCGGCTCTGGCAGCCACCAAAGATCTAAAGAGAGCCCTGTTTGGAGCTGGCTGTGATGGCAAAGCTCCCCCGAGACGACATCCCGGAGCCAGAAGAGATAACCCCTGACTCCCTCCCCTCCCCTCCCAGCTGATCCTTTCCACCCTACCCCTCTACAGCAGCTGCCTCCCTGGTGGTTTTGCACGGGAGGGGGCGAAAGACACCCTCATCTCCAGGGCCAAAATCTACCCATCTTTGCAGGGACCTGGATGGCACAGGAACGTGCTCCCCCTCCGTTAGCCGACGCACTGCTTTCGAGGCCTGGTATATCATTAAAAGGCGTTGCAGGTGGGCATGCCGCGGGAGCAAGCACAGGCGCACGCCGCGGCTGCAGCCCTCCTCTCCTCTCCTCCCTCGCCCCCAGGCACTCGCCAGCCTGAGCTGCCCCGGGGACCCGGCCCGAGAGGCGCAGGGCACACATCAGACAGCGGAGAGCATGAGTCCAAGGGCAAGAAGGAGCGTGCATGCCATGGAGACAAGTGGGGCCAGCACACACCCAGAGAGAGAGGACAAAAACCAGCAAAGGAAAACAAGAAAGAAATACAGAAGAGAGTACTTACAACAGAAAACAGAGAAATTTCACTTGTTCAGTAGTCCTGATGCACCAAAGCATGGACAGGGAGAGAGACAGACAGATGGAGAGAAGAAGAGCGCGTGAAAAGGCCTGGATATTAACTCTCATCTGGAAAAGCACAGTGAGTTGCCCAGCTCTGTCTTTTTGGAAGGAACACGCAGATAAAAGGTGCTCTGATTCTGCATTTGCTATTCCTGGCGGCGGGATGAGATTCAACCACAAATCCCGCTGCCGGGGGAGGCGAGTGCCCGGAGCAGCCCATGCTGCTTGGAGGTGACGGAGAGGAAGCCTGAAAATTCCCCGCCGCCTCCCCTCACCGCCAGCTCCTGCTCGCCCGTGGCCACACGCAGGAACGCCAACTCTGAAAAAAACCTGTACCAACACTCTGCAAATATTTCTCAAAGAAAAAAATCCAACACACCCTTATTTTTGCCTGCTAGGTTTTATCTGCTCGCTCTGTAAAAACCCACTCTCTAGTTTTCCCACCAGAGGATTCATTAGCAGGGTGATGGCTTGTTCTGGCTTTACTGTCAAACCAGCCACAGACTCTGTGCTCCTAAAACTTCCCCTTTTAAGCTGATTTCCTGCTTAACCCCGCAATGGGTTCCGATTACCCGTTAAATGCAATCACAAAATATAGTGGAAGGACCCAAAATTGGCTGGGCAGTTATTCCCTCGTGCAATATCCCCTCTGCTTCCCTTGCCTGCGGAGAGACCCTGCGGAGGGAGGGCAGGCAGAGCCAAGCCCGGCTCAGCAGCAGCTGTCTTAAACGTCAGGCTGGGACTCCAGCGCTGCCCAGACACAGGCTGGAGGGCATTTGCGATACAACAGGTGAAATACCAAGAAAATAGCAAGATTTAGCCATTAAACCTGTTCCCAGAGGATGGAATGCTATCTGCATTCCCAGGAGGCACTATGAAACATCACCATTTACATGGGGGTTTTAAATAGCACGGTTCAGGAACTAAATATGCACTTAAATAGTTCAGCAAGGAACAACAAGCTCCCTACCGCCTGTGCAGATGTGATGAAAGCAACAATCAATCTGCCTGTTTAACCTCTATTCTCTTCCCCCGTTATAAAAAAGGAAATTCAGCGGCAGCTCACAAAACGTCCCAGCAGCATCTGATTAACCAGACCCGCATTCGCGAGCTTCAGAAGACCTGCAAACCCTGGTGTGCGCTCGGCAAGCCCTGCAGGCTCAAGCCTCCGTCAGAGGTTTGCTCTGACTCCGCAACCCTACACCTCGGCCCCACGAGCTGGAGCCCCGAGGGGATCTCCAAAGGGGTGATCCTGCGAAGCGGGTCCCGATCCAGCCCTCCCCGCTCTCTGTGGGACCCAGGGCACCGGCAGCGCTCCGGGACACCCGTCCCTCTCCTCCCACCCGCTCCTGAGCGAGCGGAGTGCCGGCATGGAGAGGGGAGCTGCCCTTCCACCAGGACAAGGGGTGGATAAAACCGGGGCGGCAGCAGAACCCGGGGTGCGCATCGGTATTTCGGGCTCGCTCAGAAGGCATGGGGGCAGGAGCACCATCACCACCACCACCGCCACCACCTGCCTGCGTGCAGTGGAACGGAGGGGGCCGCCAGCCCCCAGCCGGCCGCCCGCTCCGCGCGCACCGGCACTCACGTTATCAGGCGCGACTTGGGCTTCTTTGGGGAGTCTCTGCCTTTCACGAGATCGTCCTGCACCTCCAGCGTCTGAGACTCGAGGATTTCGTTGAGGCTGTTGTCGGCAGTGGGGCAGGAGTCGGCGGTGGTGCTGGCGAGGGTCTTGGTGGGCTTGAAGGGATCCACGGAGTCAAAGTTATTGGGGTCGAAGTGGTAAGAGCCCTTGGGGAGAGTCGGAGAGTTTCGCAGCGCTGAGCTGCCGCCGAAGGGGTTGAGACCCGGGCTGTCCCAGAGCGCGGGACCCCTCTCCGCGTCCTCGGCTGGTTTCTTGGGGGGCTCTCGGTGTCTCTTCGGTGTCAGCTTGCTGGCCGGGATCCTGCTGCCCTTCCTGGGTGCAGCCCTCCTGGCCTCCGCGCTCTCTCCCGCCTCTGTACAATCGACCCCAGGTTTCGGGACCTGCTCTTTGGGCTCCGGGGCCGGGTCCCCCCCCAGCTCACCCGGGCTGCCGCTGGGCGGGGGGGGGCG